TGGACTCATATGTACAAAGTGCTGAAGGAAAGAAAAAAATCTGCCAAGTAAGAACATTATAATCACAAAAGTTATTCCTCAGAAATAAATAAAAAATGAGATCTTTCTCAGATAATAAAGAATTGTGAAAATTTATCACCACATGACAACTGATGCCACAAAAATACAAATGGTCATTAGAGACTACTATGAACAATTATTTGTCAACAAATTAGAAAACCAAGAAAAAATGGATAAAGTCTTGGACACATGTAACCTACCAAGATTTAACCATGAAGAAATAGAAAATGTAAGTAGACCAATAATGTGAGACAAAATTGAATCAGTAATTAAAATCATATATATATATATATATATATATATATATATATATATATATATGATATAATACTAACACACACACATATATATATCTCACATACACACACACACACACACATATATATATATATATACTCACACACATACACACACAAAAGAAGAATAAAACTAGACACCACTTTATCACATACAAAATTAAAATTAAACTAAATTTTAAAATAAACTGAAAATGTGTTTAAAAATCACTTACATGAAACTAATAGAAGAAAACATAAGAGAAATGCTTCAGATCTTTGTTCTCTGCAAAGATATTTATGGAGTTATGATCCAGAAGCACAGATAGCTAGCAGAAGAATTGTCAAACAGAATTGCATCAAACTAAAACTTTTCTGCATAGCCAATTAAAAAGCAGAGTAAAGAGACAACCTACATGATGGGAAAAATTACTTTAAAAACTACTTATTTGGCAAGGTCTTAATTTTCAGAATATATAAGAAACTCAATAAACTCAAAAACAAAGAAAAAAATAATAAAATTAAAAGTGGGCAAATGATTTGAATAGACATTTTTCAAAAGAAGACACACAATACACCAACAAAGTAAAAAATGCTAAACATCACTAATCATTAGGGTATTTTGGTTTAGATATGAGATGTCTCCCAAAAGCTCATGTATGCGACAATGCAAGAAAGTTTAGAAATGAAACGATTGGGTTATAAGAGCATTAACCCAATAAGTACAGAAATCCACTGATATGGATTAAATGGGAAAGAACTATAGGCAGATAGGGTGTGGCTAGAGGAGGTAGGTCAAGAGGGCAGGCCTTTGGGGTTTATATTTTGTCTGTGCTTAGTGGAGTACTCTCTGCTTCCTTGTTGCCATGTCCCAACCTGCTTTTCTCTGCCATACCCCTTTGCCATATTTTGTATCATCTTTAACCCAGTGCAATAAAAAAAAGGCATCTATAAATTGATACTTCTGAAATTTTGAACCAACTAAAATAAACTTTTCCTCTTCTATGTGGTTCTTCTCAAGTATTTTGGTCACAGCAATGAAAAATCTGATTAAAACATGAGGGAAATGAAAATCAAAAGTATAGTGAGATGTAATTTCACCCAATTAGAATGACTAGTATAAAAAAAAGACAAAATTCTGTTGAGACTACAGTGACAGGGAAATACACTGTTGGTGTGAATACAACTTACTACAGCCATTAGGGAAAACACAATGAAGGTGCCAGAAGAAAAGAAAGGAAGGGAGCTAGGGAGAAATGCTGTGTCCTGCATGGCTGTTAATTCAGGTTCCCAGACCAGGCATTGAGGGGATAGAGAAAAGACAAACAGATACACAAATAGAGAAAAAGTCGAGGCCTGGTGGATCCCTAAACCTTGATAGGGAAATAGTTACCACAAGCCAGCTTGGCAGGTTTATTATATAGGTTTAAACATCAAAAGGATTTATTATGAGAAAGTTTCTTCAAGATGAACAAAACCCAAGTTGAGGGTATAAACAGCCCAATTACGACTATCAGCTTGTACTCATAATTCTCTACCCCTGGGTATCTGGGGTTTGAACCCAAGGGAAAGAACTGATAAGTCCATGGCTGGCACAGAATTTCTCTTTGAACAGGGCATCACCACAGCTGCTGGGCAGTCTCAAATTGATACTTTCACACTGAGAGTTCCCTAGAGGGGTATTGCCTCTGTCTCTGGACAGTTCAAGAACCATAATTTATTTGCTGCTCCTGACACAGGGTGGGAAAAGAAAAGAGAAAAGAAAAAACAGAACTACAATATTATTTGGCAAACCCATTACTGGGTGTTTATTCAAAGGAAAGGAAATCAGAATGTTGAAGAGATATCTGCATTTCCATGTTCTCTGCAGCATATTTACAATAGCCAAGATATGGGATCAACCTAGATTTCTTTTGTTGCATTAATTCTTAAAGAAAATATGCTGTATATACACAGTAGAATACTATTCAGCCATAAAAAATATTGTACTTCTCTCATTTGCAGTAACTCTGTAGAACTACACAACACCGTGAGTAAAAGAAGCCAGGCACAGAAATTTAGTACGTTAGCACTTATATATGGAAGTTCAAAAAGTTAATGTCCTAAATGTTGTAATTAAAATAATTTTTATCAGAAATTGGGAAGGGGTGGTAATGGAGAGAGAATGGCTAAAGGTAGAGGATACATTTAAGTAGAAAGAATAATTTTAAACATCTTCAAATACAACACATTTTAATATTTTATTTAACCTGTCTAATGTTCTGTAGTCCAGTACGGTAAATATACTTGGGAACACTTAACTGTATATTTCAAAAAGAGTGGAGAGAATTTGGAATGTTTTCAACATATAAAAAATGATAACTGTTTGAGTCCATGGATATATTGACTATCCTTATTAAATCTTTATACATTGTATACATGATTTGACACATCACACTGAAATCCATAAATACATATGGTTATTTGTCAAAACAAATTTTTAATCAAACTATTTTTAATGATGATAAAGAATAGAAGTATTTTACTACTTTTTAAAATAATAAAACTTCATAAAGGGGACCATTACCCCCCAAATGAACCAAAACAATTAAATCATATCCATTTTAATTGTAGGTCACATAGCAAAGTCCATCTAAATTGCTAAATATTACATTTAGAAAAAGTAAATATTCTTTTTTGATTCATATTCTATTTCTCTACCTAATGAAGCATTCTTATAACAATAATTTTATTTTATATTAAAATACTTATAAAAAGAAAATATATAATTTAATCTGAGAAAATTATCCTTTGCTTAATTACCTTTTACTTAATTGAACATCTTGTTTCATAAAAATTTTTTCTATAGTACACTCCCATGATATTTTCCCTCAGTATGTATAAAAAATTATCAGCAAAATGCAATCCATATATACTATTCCAGAGTTCCTGATTTTCTATACCTACAGTGTTAAAAATTTTTTATATCAAAATGTTTTTTATCTTGCTAAAGAATACAAGTATTTTTATCTCTATCAAGTTTTCATTTGGTGATATCAGCAGATTTCATTTTATTTAATCAGCCTTTTAGAAAATTTTTCAACTATCATTGTAAAACTGAGAGTTCTTAAAATGTATCATAAAATATGTATTTTACTAGTAAGTGGAATCAGAAAACATGTCCTTTAATAGACTTCACCTGGTCTGAGAGGATACTTTAATATTCTCAGAACCAATTCTGTTTTCTAGCTTGATCACCTGTTAACCATCTTTAGTGCCTCCCGTTATCTTGTGTTTTAGCCAAAGATCGAAAACACAAACTTCATAAGACAAATACCTGGCTGTGGCCACATACCAATGCTTGCCTGGAATTCAATCTAAAGCTGCTATAGCCTTCTTCAGACCACATTTCTTTGGATTTATAGTTTGCCCCTCTAAATTCTGCCTCTTTTCTGCCCCACACCAATGATTGGCTCTGGTTGAATGTCCTGTTCCCTTTGTTGTGAGATGTAACAAGTTAGCTGTAATACCAGAAAAATAAGCTTATTTAAAATGAGAATGCCAAAATTATACTAATATTTTGAAATGTCAATCTCTAATTGCAACTATTCTTGCTTTCTCTGAAGAAGCTATCAAAGAAAAGAATCTAGGAAAATATGTAAATTATTAAGAGTGCATTGACCATAGAGGCTGACCACAACACATCAGTGTAGAGATGAGAAATGCTGATAGAGACGTCAGGATATCTGGAGAAATCTATGCCTCAACAGTGAATGAATTTTCACAACTGAATCTTATCTAAAGGAATAAAAGCTTACATAGCATCAAACTCCAGACAACAACATTATTGGTCCTTCTCAGAGGCACCTAAATAGCCCAGAGTAGCACTGAATTTTTAAAATATAACTAGTTCTTTTAAGTATACAGGGAAAAGTAATGCAAAATAATAACATATTCATTCCTTAAGCTACCTTTGCTTAAGGAAAATGTGCATGACTTTAAAGGTATGTTATCTTTGGAGAATTTTCTTTACATATCCACTATATTATAGTTGCACAATTTTCTTCTGAATACCCTTGTTAACATACTCTGGCAGACATTCAATATCAAACTGTGTTCCAGGCAATGAATTTATAATATTGTAGCAGGAACAATCTCTTGAATGTTGTAAGCCTTTATATATGATGGAAAAATCAATAACATGGATAAATGTGTAGCAAACTAGCCTATGTACTTTTTAGGTGAAGTATAGTTCAGTAATATGGACTGAAGTTTTTTTTAGGGCAAATAATCCTGTGCTTATGTGGAATATTATAAAATATATTTAATTCATTCACTATAATAGACAAAATAATGGTAATACTAATTTATAGTATGTATACTAATGCATAATAGATTAATATTAATATATTAAATATATTTATATTATTATATAATACATAATCCAAATATTTGACTACTTTTAGTACATAATTTAACTTGATACAAAGAAATGTTCTGTAATATACAAATGAACTGTTGAATTGTTTATTCTCTATTCTTTCCATTTAGAAAAATATAATAAATGTGTGCATATAATACAATTACACAGGAAATAGCAATTTATATAAAATATTGTTCATTTTTCATTTATAAATAATGAAACAATATGATGCTTTTGTAATATTGTTCTTCCTATTTTTCTAGATAATCAACAGTTTCTGTACAGGACAGATTATGACAGCTTCTTTCTTAAGGTAAGATTTTGTGTCACAGTGGTATCCTTCTGAGAAGCCACAAGTTTTATGCACTATCAAAAATATTCCATAAATAAAATTGTCTTCGAGTAGCTCCATCAAAGCCTAAATTGAGAGTATTTTCTCATTAGTTTTAACATTTGTGATTGTTTTTGTTGAACAGTACTATTTTTACAATAAGTTCTAGAGGATGTTTCTTGGATATTTCCAAATACAAAGCATATAACTTGTTATTTTTATTAAATATAAATAAGATCATAGGACAAAAATGAAATATTCTGATTTAACTAACACAATTAAGGTATCTCCCATAGGGTGTCTGCAATTTATGCATGTTGAAATATACACACGTTAATATCTTTAATTTTTTTTTCTAAAATACAAGCACATTAGACTGATTTAATTCTCATGAGTACCCCAGACTCTGGGGTTAATGCTATATGTATATTTTGCTCTGTCTTCTTTATTATTCCAAGAGTTAGAAATTATTCTTATTGTATAATAAGTTAGTTATATTATTTTGACTCATATATTTACCAGTTTTTCCCCATTTTCTTTTTATCAGAACTTCCACCTGATATATCTCATAGAAGTATGTTCTTTAGAATTGTCTTTAGTGAGCATTTTTTAGTTTTTCAGTGAGAATATTTGTACTTCTCTTACTCTTGAAAAAAAGAAATTTCATGGACCATAAGTCTAATTCATAATTTTTCTTGTACCATTAAAGATTTTATTCCTTTTCTTTTCTGGCTTCCTATAAAAAGTCTATTTAATAGCTGCTTTGTTTTTTAATTTGCTTTTTATAGATATACATGACAGTAGAGTGTATTTTGATATATTATACATACATGGAGTATAACTTATTCTAATTAGGACCCCATTTTTGTGGTTGTACATAAGGTGAAATTTCATTGGTTCTATATTCATATGTGAACATAGGAAAATTATGTATGATTCATTCTATTGTCTCTCCTATTCCCATGCCCTCTCCCATCCCTTTCCAGCCCTTTCTGTAATCCAATAAAATTCTATTCATGCCCACCCTTTAATGTGTGTTAGCACTCATGTATCAAAGAGAATATTTAGCCTTTGGTTTTGGGGGGTTGGCTTATTTTCCTTAGCATGATAATCTCTAGTTTCATCCATTTACCAGTAAATGCATAATTTCATTTTTCTTTATGGCTGAAAAATATAACATTGTTTATATATATCACATTGTCTTTATCCATTCATCTGTGGAAGAGCACCTAGGTTATAGTTCCATTGCTTAGCTCTCATGAATTGAGTTGCTAGAAACATTGATGTGGCTACAGAACTGTAGTTTGCTGACTTTAAATCTTTTGGGTATATACCGAGTAGTATATACTCCTCAAATGGAGCTGAGTCGAATGGTGGTTCTCTTCCAAGTTTTCTGAGGAATCTCCATACTGCTTTCCATTGTGGTTGCACCAATTTTCAGTCCAACCAGCAATGTATGAGGGTACCATTTCCCCCACGTGTTTGCCAAAATTTACTGTTGCTTGTATTTTTGATAATTGCCATTCTGATTGGAGTGAGATGAAATCTCAGTGAAGTTTTAGTTTGTATTTCTCTAATTGCTAAAAATGTTGAATATATTTTTTTTTAATTTTTATTTTTTATGTTGAATATCTTTTTAAATATTTGTTGACTAGTTATATTTCTTCTTCTGTGGAGTACCTGATCAGTTTCTTCACCCATTTATTGGTTATTTGGTTTTTTTTTCTTTGTTTTGGTGTTAAGTTTTTTGAGTGCTTTGTATATCCTGGAGATTAATGTTCTATCTGAAGTGCAGGTGACAAAGATTGTCTCCTATTCTCTAGACTCTCTCTTCGCATTCTTGATTGTTTTCTTTGCTGTGAAGACACTTTTTAATTTGATTTCATGCCATTTGTTGATTCTTGATTTTACTTCTTGGGCTTTTGGCGTCTTATTGAGGAAGTTAATTCCTAAGCTGACATGATGGAGAATTGGGCCTACAATTTCTTCTATTAGGTGTAGGCTCTCTGTTCTAATGCCCAGTTCTTGATTCAGTTTGAGTTGAATTTTGTTCAGGCTGAGAGACAGGGGTTTAATTTCATTTTGCTACATATAGATTTTCAGTTTTCCCAGCACCAAAAAGTATGGTTTTGGGGATTGGCTTATTTCACTTAGCATTATAGTCTCCAGTTCCATCTTCTCTCCAAAGTATGTTTATGGCTCCTTTGTCTAGTATGAGATAACTGTACATATATGATTTTGTCTCTGTCTTCTATTATGTACCATTCATCTTCATGTCTGTTTTAGTACCATACCATGCCGCTTTTGTTACTAAATCCCTATAGTATGATTTAAGTGTTATGATGCCTCCTGTTTCACTTTTCTCACTAAGGATTGATTTGATTATTCTAGGACTCATATTTTTCAAAATAAATTTCATGACTGCTTTTTCCATTTCTATGAAGAACATCACTGGAATTTTAATGAGAATTTCATTCAATCTGTATAGCACTTTTGCTGGTATTGCCATTTTGACAATATTAATTCTGCCTACCTACAAACATGGGAGATCTTTCCACCCTCTAATGTCTTCTTAAATTTTGTTTTGAGTGTTCTGTAGATTTCATTGCAGAGGTCTTTCTTTTGTTAGATTGATTCAAAATGTTGTTTTTTTTTAAGGCTATAGTGAATGCAGTGGTTTTCCTAATTTCTCTTTCAGCTGATTCATCACTGGTATATAGACATGTAATTGATTTATGGGTGTTAATTGTATATCCTGCTACTTTGCTGAATTTATTTATGAATTCTAGAAGCTTTCTGGTAGAGTTTTTTAGTCTCCTAAGTATAGAATCATTTCATTGGCATTATTCCTATTATCCCTAGTTTTTCTAGTGTTTCAAAGATGAATGCATGCTGCCTTTTGTCAAATTGTTTTTCTGTATCTATTTAATCACGTGATCCCTGACTTTAATTCTAAGGATGTGTTGAGGCACATGTATTGATTTCCCTATGTTCAGCCAACCTTGCATCCCTGGAATGAACTCCAATTGCTCTTGGTGCACTATTTTTTAACATGCTTTTTGTATGCAATTTGCATCTATTTCTAGCAGGGGTATTGGTCTGAAGTTTTCGTTCTTTGATGTGTCTTTGTCTGGTTTTGGTATCAGGATGAGTCTAGCTTCATAAAATGAGTTTAAAGTTTGAAAGGTTTTTTTTTTTTTTTTGTAGTGGAAATTTAATCCGGGGGAACTTAACCACTCCACCACACCCCCCCAGCCCCTTTATTTTTTATTTTGATATAGGGTTTTACTAAATTGCTTAGGGCCTCCCTAAATTGCTGAGGCTGGCTTTCAACTTGCAATCCTCCTTCTTAAGCCTCCTGAACTGCTGGGATTTTTAATATTTGATTGCTTTTAATACTTACAAAACTTCTCTTGATCTGTGATTTTTAGATTCCATATGAAACAGAAATAATATGCCATTTGTGTTTCTTTGCCTGGCTTATTTCATTTGAAATTTTGATCTATAGATTCATCCATAATACTGATAATAACAAAATTCTATCCTTTTTTATGGTCTTTGGTGTTCTAAAACTACTTATGAAATGTCTCTGTTTTTATGTATCTTATTTTGGAGTATCCTGCATCAGAGTATAGATGTTTTTCTTGATACTTTTAATCTTTATTTTTTTGTGTGAATGTGTTAAAAATTTGCATTTGAGTTTTTCAAAAATTCAGTAGTCTTTTCTTGTTCTTATGTTCAATGCAAGCTTATTTTAAATGTGCTTTTGATTTCAATCTCTATTACTGCTTGGAATCAATCAATTTTATCCCTTATGTGTGGTTTTTTTGCTATTGTTGTTGGTTGGTTGGTTTAGTTATGATTTCACATATGTGGATTTGAAGTTCTACTCTTTAAGTTATCCCTTTTACCAGTCACCCAGAGGACTATCAATATCAACCCAATATTTAAATTAAATGCTTTGCTCTATGTTTTTGATCAAATAACATGAATTTAATCAGATCTCATATCTGTAATAAGAGCTTTATTTTCTGTAATAAGATTTATTTTCACAAATTCTTAATTTCGCTTTGCTTTTGTTTTCTTCTTATACCACTAGGGAAAAATGTGTATATTTTCTTTAGATCTTTCTCTACATAAGGTTTATTCTTATTTTAAGCAAGCTAGGTGAAGACTGTCTTAAATAGTACTTTCCACTATGAGAGGAACATAAGTTTATCTAGCACTCTGTTCCTCATGAAATATTCAAAATGGAAGCTCAAGTGTTCCGTAACTTTGTGGAAATTCTCATGCTGAATGCTGAATTTGATGTTTACTTGCTTATTATGTCTCCTGCTTTACTTTGGTCTTAGGTGATGCAGATTTCTTTCTTTTTTTTTTTTCATGCTTTATCAAAAAGTCTTATAAGGTACATACATGCATATGTATAACTAATTTTATTTAATTTTTTTTTCCATCTGGAAAATATCTACATAGTTTTGGCTACACAGATCCAACACACTAGCTTGAAGTAGAAAACCAAGGATTTTTGGCTTATAAAGATGATAACACTTGATGTTTTAACATTTTGCAGATAGTATAAATAATGATATATATTTCTTCTTTTTACTTTTTTGACTCAACTTCAATAAGTAAACTGCTAAAACATAATTTCATACTAATTTACTATTTTACAAGTCTCCAATCTTTTTCTTCCATAATTCCGGTTTGCTTCTATGACTTCTTTCTGTTCCCCAAAGCTTTATCACATTAATTGTACCTAACTATTAATATTTGTAAGAAAATGGGGATGATCTTTGATTGAGTCGGCCTTTGAAGAAAATACAAAGGCATAATCTCTGTCTCTCTTTCAGTCTTTTATATTCTTCAAAGACACCATATTAATTTTGTTGCCTTTGAGGCTCTTATAATTACCATTAATACATACTGTTTAACTAAATGGAGAATTATAAACCACCCATTCAAGTTTGTCAAAGAACTTT